ATTATACAGGAAAGGAGATATTGCATGTGTGAGGAATTTGCAATTTGACTATTGATTCTTATGTAAAAGTTCGCGAGAAACACGATGGTGCCACTGGTTTTCTATGAAATCAACTACCAAGCTCAAAAAAAAGCTCTCAAGTTGAGGCCAAAATGGAGGGGATATCCCGCGCTATCCTGAGAGTCCACCTCTTCATCAAGACAAATTCTCGATGCAAAGATAGGGAGCAAATACATTGACAGGGCTGCCACTTTAATTGGGGACTCCAAAACTGAATACACGGCAACCCTGCTAATGTATTTGCTCCCTATCTTTGCATGGAGAGTTTGTGTTGATGTAGAGGTGGACTCTCAGGATAGCGTGGGATATTCCCTCCATTTTAGCCTCAACTTGAGAGCTTATATTGAGCTTGGGAGTTGATTTCAGAGAAAACCAGTGGCACCATCGTGTTTCTCGCGAACTTTTACATACGTTCCAGTAATCAAATCGCAAATTCCTCACACATCGACGGTGAAACTACCAAACCACGTATCTCGGTTTGCGACGTCGCAGACTTCCTGTCATACTTTGTTTTTTAAATGGAAAACTACATAACATCCAGTCTTGAAAATTTCTGTGATTTTTTCTCTTTGTGCGGAGAAAATTCCGAGAAAATTTCAAGGAATGATATTGATTTGGTCTACTTCAAAAAAATAAAATGTGAGCGTAGATTTTTAAACACCGCAAACGAGATACGTGGTTTGGTAGTTTCACCGTCGACATGCAACATATCCAATACTTACACTGTTCGCACAAAAATCCGCACAACCGTATTCATGTAAAGACGTAAAATAACCAAATTAAATTCGGCAATAGCTGACGTGGCTTGGTCCCTTTTTGCTTAACATAACGCGCTCCATTGAAGGAATATGATCTAAGTTTTTTCGAATCAAAATTTCACGAGGAACACCTTAAAGTTAGTGCAAAAGTTCCTTTTTGACTTCTGAGACCAATGATAGATTTCGCCTGGTGATTACTGATGACCTATCATTAACAATTTTCTCCTCCTTTTTAATCTCTGTCAAATGCAGATTTAGAAGTAATTATGAAGCTATTTAAAATAAGTAAAACATGAACAGCATTAAACATGAATCTGACAGTGAAACGTATTTAGTCGTTTGTTCTCCTAACTCAGCGTTGAAGTCTCCAGGTAGGTAAACATGAAAAATCTTGAAGCCATCGACTACTGATTTCGGGTGAAATGAACCACTGGATCAGGTTCAAGTTCAAACATTGTGATTTACAATATCCCAACATAATTTCACGTAGAACACGATTTTTGCGATGGAAATTATTGAAAATAACCCCTTACGAAGATATTGAAGTTTATCCATGCGTTTATTCAAACCTCCCGCTCGTAGAAAAAGCCTTTATCTACTTTAGTCAAATCACATTCTAAACGATACCGTGGCAGTCTCCGCATTACAAAAATATAATAGTAGTATAAAATAGTACAGGGTGCTACTTTGAGGAAATTTTCCGAGAAAATCAATGAAACAAATTCTAAAACTTTCACGTTCCGCACTAGCATCGATATTAGGTTTCGATGTTTCCACATTTTATCCGACTTCCCTTTCATTGCCTCGCTCCTCTAGGCGCCACTGCGGTGACGCGGTTCGTGTCTAAAGAGTCACAACTCACAACTCCTTCACTTCCGCGCGTATGCAACACGAACAACCATGGAGCCCGATTAGTTGCATCCAGGCGTTATGATGAAAGTCGTTTACGATACGCAACGTTTTATTGCGTCGATACGTCGCATGCGACACTAACTGCGGCTTCCATTTTTCTCTCACACCTAGACTTACTTCCAAAATTGCCTATTGTGCCGATGAACTAAACCATGACTGATTTTTGACTCGAAATTGTTGATTATCTGAAAACTATGTATTACTTACAACGTCGCCGGCTCTTAAAATCGCAAAAAATTAGCCGTCTCAGCATGATGAATAGAGTTTCTTATAGGTAACCTACTTAAAGGAGTCGTCTTTTGTTTGAATTTTTGTTGCTTTTTTTTTTCCTTTGAGAAAATTAAGTTTGTCGTTCAAGTGCAAAATTTTGAAGGAACAATCCTGATGAATTGCACGGAATTTGGAACGAGAACAATGAGGATTCATCTTTCGACAAAATGAGATGCGACAGGAAATCTGTGATGTCACAATTAAGTCTTGTAAATACTTATATTACTGAAAATTATATTCTATTCTGCTCTTCCCCTCCTGACAAATGGGCTGTAGCTAATTTTTCCCTAAAAGGTGCACAAAAACAAAAAATGCATTGATTTTTGTGAGATTATTTAGCTCAAGCTATGCTTCAGACCCACATGCAGATCACCTATGATTCTGATTCACTTATCACCTATTTACGAGCCGTTCATAGGCGTAGCTGGGTTACCTATTTGGCCAGTGAGGGCTTGGCCCCCTTAACACCAAGGGGTTCAGGGGGGTGGGGGGGGGATGAGGACTCCTCCAAATTTTTTTTTGAAATTTGGGTCTCTGTTCGGACACCTTTAAAGGCTTTCACAACAGATTTTCCAGTAATTCTTGCACATCAATATTACGCAGTAATATTTATTTTCAGTTTAAAATACTTTCAAATTGTTACAAGGAGTTAGAGTCTATGCCAAATAAGTTTATGCACTTTTGGACTGCCACAGAAGATCCGCCATCTTGCTTCTTGAATCTACTTTACATGAAAAAGTAACGTCAGACAATCTTCTGTCGCAGTCTAGAAGTACGTTAACTTATTTGGCGTAGACTCTTTGGTTGACGAAGATTGTCTTTCATCATACGAAATTTCTGGGAATGTGCCCGTTGTATTTTATTAATATTTAAACAAAATGCTGCAAAAAAGTAGTTGTTAATTAAATACATACGTAGGTATAGGGCGGAAAAAGCATTTAAGTATTAGTAAAGATGTGCTGATTGTCAGCACTCAGTAGGTTGACATTCTGCATGCTTGAATTATGTCAAGTACTGAATGTATTTGAAGATAAATTACAAGACCTATTCCTCAAAAATAAGTTTGGTTCTGTTGGCCTCTTAACAGAAAACTTGCTCAAGCATTGCTCCATCACTCTTTGATGAGTTGCACAATTCCATGACATCTCCGCTCATGTTAAAAAATGCATGCTCATCCTAATGTACATGCAAGGTTTCACAATGTGAAGATGCTAAACCTCCTTTTCCACCAATTGCCTATTTTATCAATTTCACAAAAAAATAAATTAATATCATCATAAAAGCACAGATAGAGCTGCTCAGTGTTAGCTTTTGAAACAAATTTTAATGTTTGACAATGATATTTCAGAATTGCACGATTTAACTTCAATGTATGTGGAGTCCAATGAATAAAAAATATTGTTACTGTGAGCGTGTGCATCTCTTCAATTTAAGCTAGCTTCCATCAAACGAAAACAGATAATATGCATACTACCTTCTCCGGCAGCGCTATCAACATGCCATGCCGTCTGGTGCTTCCTAACTTTTATTTGTACTATCAGGCTGAAATTCAAACTAGAGCTCATAAAACATGATAGCAGTGCAGAGAGAGGAGTTTCCATTCCAATTTAGTAGTTCCAAAACGTAGATTGGACTGAGGATTTACCGTTAACTTTACAGGAGAATGGGTTGCAGATTTACATACACAAGCTGTGTATCAACAGCTACATCATGATTAGATAATATCTGGTGGAGTCCACCTGTCTGCTTATTCAAATCGATATATGAAGTGCAAAATGCTACGTAAAATTAAAAAAGTTAGAGTGAAAAATCTGTTGGGGCTTACCGATGAAGGTAATCCAGAAACGATCATCTTCGTCAATAGACCCACCATAGAAGGCTCGTAAGCGAGACGGCCGCGCGGTGTGAATGACCGACACAACAAGGGAAAAGATTGATGTCACGACTTCTGAGCTAAACAGTTTGATCGCGAGTGGGAAAAAAAGCTCCGCAAATGATCACGAATCACTGAAACGTTAAAATTAATTGAAGTGAATATCGCTACAGAGAATACAACCGAAAAATCTAAGGCAAAATCTAAGAACACTTAGTTATTAACATAACCGTTCTAATATTACTTGCAATACATTCATCTTATTACTAGGGATGTCGATTTTTTCGATTCGATTCTGACGAATCGATTTTTTCAGAGAAAAAATCGATTTTTTTGAATCGATTTTGTGAGAGGCGATTTATCGATTCAATCGATTTTCTATTTAAAAAAAATCGAAAAAATCGTTCAGACTTTTTCGCTCTGTTTAAAGTTTAAATTACTCTTTTAACGTCACGTCAAACCTACTTACGTTCAAACGCGGGTCCAGAAGGAAGGTATTTAGCGTTTGGTAAACTTTCTAATACATTCTTTTAGGTTTAATTGCAATTGCTGAACAGATCTTCAAGCACCATAACGACCATAACCTCTTTGAAATTTGAATGAATATTGTAAACAAAACTTCTTAACCGTCGAAACGGTCAAACGTCAAACATTCCTTGAACTAGTTGAACTTTCACTTTCACTACCTACTTATTTTATCCTACCTACCGATTTAATCAACGCCACTAGTAGAACTTTCTTTCACTTTAAAAATTTCTAAGCCTGAAATTAGCTCGTGCGCGGGAAAAAACGATTTTTTCGATTCGATTTTAAAAATCGATTTTTGAGGTACGATTTTAAATCGATTAATCGATCTTTCGAAAAAAATCGAATCGATTCGCGTAATCGATTTTTTCAAAAAAATCGACATCCCTACTTATTACTATGTTCATAGGGAGCACATAGGGAGCAACCGCAACGGAGGATAAAAGTGCGGCAGAGGGGCCACCGCCACTGTTGATAATTTAGGCCTGAGCTTTAGCATTTATTGATAATGCAGGCTATGCGTAATGTATGATTTTTGAAAATCTGGCAGCATTGGTTTTCATTCAATGACGTAGCTAAGTACGTCAGCTTGCATTTTTGCCTCTACCATTCTTCCTTTCATTTTTTTATTTTGATCCTGTGAAATGCAATGTTTTTATCATTATCGTGTTATCATGTCATATCAATATCACTTGTTATCGGAACGCTCAGGATGGGTGGATGGATGTGAAGTAATTTATCTTTTATTTTAAACCGCCTGCTGATCTTTTTGTTAATGAATATAGAAAACTTCTACTTAATTTGTGTACGGTGACAATAATTGTTCGGCGGTCTTTTAGCATCTCTATAGGAGATTTGTTTACAGTCACCCGAACAGCAGAAAGATAATCAAAAGGTAGGTAAACCTAAAGTTATCTTCCGCCTTCTTTAAGCTTTAGATAATGATATTTTGAAGTATTTTCCATACTATTAGACTAACAATTTAATATTCATGGCAATACAGTCATGCATCAATTTTTCAACTGATTTTAGACCAAGAAATGTTTAGTCGGGTGGAGTATTGTAGGAATATGTTCTCAACTAGGACAAAACCATTAGTATAACTCATTAGGTTTAGACATTTAGATATTAGATCTTTTGAAGCGCCATTAGTCTGGTGTCTTAACGTTCATCATGTGCTATCATCCACTAAGGATGTTACATCTGGTTCGCTAGCATGCAAGTAATGAGTTAATTAGTTGTATCATCATTATGAGTTGTTAGTTTCAAAAATAATATTTAAATATAGCAAACTCTGTCTCCTCATATTTTACAGGCACTGTCTCATGATATATATTTGCAATGGCAAGTGCAAATCACAACGGTCATCCTGATGAGAACGGTAAAGGTATCGCAAGTTTCCAATACCGTTTGCCAGTTTCATCTACCTCCTCACCTCGAAACTTAGAAGTTCCCATTTCGATTCCTTTCAATGAGTCAATACCTGAATTTGTTTCAAGACTTATTAGTACCTTTCAGCTTCCATACCACGTGAAACCAGGTACTTACTCAATCCAACATTTCCTCTTTCCATGGGACCTCTTGCAGTGCAAGCCGCCCACAGAAGAAAATCACAAATCTATTTTATGAAACACCATAAAGATATTTCCTGAGTGACAGTAATGTAGGTAAAAAAAACTAAAAAATACATAGAGGGAAAAAAATGCTGAAATCATCGTCTACAATCATCAAATAATTCTTATGATGTATGAAGTCTGTCGACAGAGCATCCACTAGTACAGGTCACTGTCCAGTTGGGTTGAAAGGACACTGTCAAATTTTGTCCTTGTTTTATAGATCCATGGTTCTGCTAAAACTGCAACATTCCTGAAGTATAGGATCTATCATAGCTAAACAGTTTTGGAGGAAGAATATGAAATCAAAGTGCCTGTTACAATGTTACTACTTGAACAATTACCAAAATTTAGCATTAAGATAAGACTCAATCACGATATTAATCAAAATAAGTTTGAGCGAAGTTTATGCTCTGTTGATTCTGGCTGGAATCTAATTCGACAATCAAGTCTAATTAAAATTATTGTACGCATAGTAATCTGTACTCTAAACTAAGGTGAGAGGTGAGACAAGACTCAAAGGCAATTCTGATTCAGTATTCAATTTGCATTGTTGTGCAGCGTGAGTTTAATGTGTAGCATAAACAACCCTATAGACTCAATTTGCTGTGACTATGATTCAACGCGTCTCTTTCAACTCAAATTTGAGTATACTCACATTAAATCAATCGAGCTAAAATGTGGTCATGAGGTCTATGTTATCCCATTGAAGTAGAGGCCTCAAAGGACAAATTTTCTTCATTGCGCTGTAGGCACCTTGTGTATTGGCTATTGGGGTCTTTTTTTTATTGACTTGGAAACTAACTAATTGTTGTCTATTTTTCAGATTTACTCAAGTCTCTGAATGATTTCATCGAATCAAAAACTCTTGAGTTCCATGATAAAGAGTCACAAGAAGTGTTGGAGAAGTGTAATGATGGTAAAATAGATATTGAAGAGATCATTAAAATTTGGGAGAAAGCATTCAAAGCTGAAACTCTCCAGTATGTGAAAAAAGAAGGCACCTCTGACAGCGAATTATTTTCGAGTGTCTATCATAAACTAGTTCATTCCGGCTCTGCTTTGGAGACAATTTTGCAAGTAGAAAATTCATATGCCTTAGCAGTTGCAGAGCTGATATCACAACGAGACATCCAACTAAAATCTCTTTCAGCTTGGTAACTACTCAATTGTTGCTTTTTTGCATATTTTTTAGATTAAGCTTCAGCTGTAATTCCATTCTTCTATTTTCAACAAGCGCAGTTTTTCTTATTTTTACTCTGTAATTATATGTATTAACAGGTAGGTAATAGATTTTTTTTCTTTACGTCTGGAGTCTCTTAAATAAGTTTTTTAAAAGGACTTCGAATCTAAGCACTGCCATGCCGAGAAATAATGGCAAATGAGGCTCTTTTTGTTGTGTACCTCTGCTGTTAAAACTTTTTTTTTCTTTTATATTATTTTCCTGAAAAATTCCTGCCACATTTGACGAAAATAAAAATTCAAATAGATTATACTCAACGTTTACATAGTTTCCCGAGTAAACAAACATCATTTTTGCAAGCCTTGAAATCTACATATGAATGGCTGAATAGGTATTGCATATATTTGATAATATCTCTGTCTACCTAATTCTATCACTAATATCTGAAATATTGGCAGATTTTTCTGTTGTTATATCTTAACAAAACTGTTTCCATAGCTTACAATACACTGTAACATTTCTAGGCAAACAGAAGAAATGTGTCGTGCTGTAGAAGGTGTTGACATTTATAGCACGGAAAAAGATGTAAATGATCTGGCTGCAAGTCATTTTGAAGACCAAAATCTGGTGCACGGAAAATGGAATAGTGAAGTTGATGCTTTAAAGGAAAGTCAACGGAAAGATTACAGGTAGGTAATTGGCTAAGTCATCAATTTTATCTGAAAAGCAAGCTTTACTTATTTCTACCAGAATACTTAGCTTTAGTTCTTTATTGACGATAGGATGCTTCCAGCCTTTTCATCTGCATTCATCTTAATTTTATTGACAGTCAATGTTTACTTATCGAGACTGATGTAGAGGTCAGCTAAGTAGAACAAAGAAAAGTTTTGAAAATTCTGAGGCCTCTGCTGACCAGTCCGTTTCTACTCTCTTTGCCCGCGATGCAGTAGAATAGATCTATACTTATATTTTTTGTAAATGCCATGAAAACATGCTCATATTTATGTCATACAAAATTGAACACAGCTTACTTGTTTCATATAATCATTTGGAGAAAGTCCACCACCTGGGATGGATGAAAAATTATTAATTTGCCCAAAAAGGTGTCTTAAAAATGCAAAAAGTTTATTTCTTTTTGTGATGGTTTGTAATTTAAGATACAGATCTGAATCAGTGCAACAATTAGCAACTCAAAAAAAATTTTATTTATTGAGTTTTTCTTTATTTCCCATATTTTTCCTAAGTTGTTGTCAGTTTCATGAAATTTTATCATTAATTTTTGACCATTTACATTGCCAGAAGCAGTGAACGAAGAGAAAAAAATGGTCATGGGTCATGATACCTTGTCAAATTAAAATACTTTGATAAGCCAAAAGACTTAAATTAAGGTTTTTCTATGGGATTTCGATGAGCCTTCGAAAAAAATTGAAAATAGAGGTACTCTTCTTGTATTACTATCAATATGACTGTGAGGACAGTCTATGCACTACAGCATCTTTTTTATCGTTTGATTATTTTCTTAAGGATAAATTTCAATGTTTAATATTTTTTTTCTTTTTTAAATTGTAACTTTATTTTCAGAGAGTGGTTGATGAAACTGCTTGAAGAACAAGAAACTGCCTCATTGTCACACTTCAGTCCGCTGGAGCCCAGCAAAGATACAGCTCCAATTTTGGAGGAAAGTTTTACAATTCATTTAGGTTCTCAACTAAAACAAATGCACAACATAAGGATCCTATCGGCAGATGTTTTCGACTTTTGTGCTAACAAACTAGATGAATCTGGGTAAGTAAAAAAAGATTTACTTAGTTCAGTGGTGCTTTAGTATTTTAGAATTTCTGCCAATGAAACACTAGACAAGTTAAAAACTGAAGCATTCTGTGATATGCACTATCTGTAAAATTTTATGTAGAAACCAATTTACACAACGGGTTATTGGGAAAACAACTCATGAGGAAGATTAAAGTACTAGTAAGTAGTCTATCAAAGTAGACTGGTAAAGCAAATCTACTCATGACTACGTAATATGGTAAGAGGTTTCAGTACTTTTGGTCACCTTTTTTTTTACCCCTTTCTTTTCTCTTGCTCCAATTTCAGATTTTTTCTTTCTTTTTTGTAATTACTTCTGTCTTTAAAAAAGTTTGATGAAAAGTTATGTATATACAGGAAAAGTTAAAGGATAATGCAGAAAAACTTGTATCAACTGTAATTTGTTCAATGAAGTACATGTAATAAAAAAAAATTTGCTTATATGAGGTCTGTCCGGAAAGTAACAAACTTTTTTATTTGTAAAGGAAATTAGCTGGCCTGGGGCTTTAAAACTTTAATCTCCCTCGAAGTACTCTCCACCAGTCACATTGCACTTGTTCCAGCGGTATTTTAACTTCCGGAAGCACTACGCAAAATCCTTCCTCAAGATGGCCATCAGTTGCTGCATCATGTTTTGCTTTGATATCTTCGACAGACTGAAATCGAGTTCCTATCAACGCGCTTTTAAGTTTGGGGAACAGCCAGAAGTCACAGGGTGCCAGATCCGGCCTGTAGGGGGGTGGCACCCGTGCGATCTTGTGTTTCGCCAAAAATTGTTGGACTAGGCACGAGGAATGGGCAGGAGCGTTGTCGTGGTGGAGTATCCAGTCGCCGCTTGCCCAGAGCTCAGGACACTTCCGCCTCACCGCATCCCTTAAACGGCGCAAAGTTTCCCTATACCTTTCTTTGTTGATAGTCTGTCTCTGGGGGGTATACTCATGATGCACAACACCTTTTTGATTAAAAAAAATTGTCAACATGACTTTGACTTGGCTTTGACTGTGCCGCGATTTCTTTGGACGTTTTTCCCCCTTTGCGATCGAAGCTGGAGAATGGACGTCGGTTTCAGGGTCGTACTCGTAGGCCCACGACTCGTCTCCTGCAATGGTTGATGTGTCAATCCGAGATTGAGGCAAAATTGGATGTAAATTTGCTGATCTTCGCGCTCGGACAATTTTGTGGAAAACAAAATGCGATACATACCAACACTTGATACACACTGTTGAATCAGGTGCTCGCTGTCAATTGATTGAACGTATGTCATTGCCATTGCGTGTGTGCTTTCAGGAGGATATGGATAAAGTGTAAACCAAGTCCCAATTTCTTATCTATAACCGATTCCAAGATAGGCAGGCTTGATACTTTCCGGACAGACCTCGTATTCTATTTGATCGGTGAATGTATGTGTTAATATCCTACTGAGAAGTTTATATTCTAACTTCCAGTCGCTTTCTGCATAAAATTTTAAAGAGGGAACGTACAATATGATGTTCTAATTTATACCTATTCCAGTGGTCTATTTACAGCAGTTATACAGACATTTCTTCCTTTATTTCAGTGGCTCAGAAATTCAACCACAACGTCTTCAGACTTCTCTTGGATTGTACTCTAACGATCTTTGCGGACTAGTATTATTGTCTGACGCTCATATAGGCAGTTTTGCAGGCCCAACCAAAGGTATGGTGTTCAAAACAAAAAGCTTTTACTGTCTTCCATTATTGTATTGCGGATCGCAAAGAAATTGTTTACTCGCCAGTTATGTATCATGTGTTACTGTGGGTATCATTTAGTTTGATATTTCATTACTTTTGCATCCATGATGTTTGTTATCAATGGCAGACTTAATTTTTCAAAATTCTAGCTTTTAGCTGAACAAAAATTTTAGCAATAGCTCCAAAACTCAACTCAGGCTCAGTTCAAATATTTTCAATAATGTATTTCTGTAGTTTGCGCTCCAGGCAGACCCATGGAGATATCTCAAGCAGCCATCCTCACATAATGTTTTTTCATAGATGAACACAGTGAAGTACATATTACTAATCTTTTTCTTCATGACGCAGTATTAGTTAGTCAGTATTCAAAGTTTCTGTCGCTGCACCACAGGCCTTAATTTTTGAAAACTCTTTTTCACTGTTCACAGAATTCTGTGATGTAAGCTCCAAGTCAACTGAATTTCATTTCGAAGATACAGAGGATCAATTGGAATCAATTAGAAATAGAGTGCGAGAAGCGGTCAGTTGGAGGCAATCATTCGCCCAACCATTACAAAGTGTTGATACACAGGTATGCCTTGAGAAATTATTTTAGTCTTCTAAAACTAATAAATCAGGCTAGAAGGAGTGCAAAGCCTGTTTTCTCCCAATACCTAGTGGCAAATTATGTATAAAAAACAATAAAAGAAAAGGATACAAATTTTCACGCCATAACTTGCGTTTTGTTTTGGAATGGAGTTTGTATTTTTTTCAATCTTTAAATGCATTTCGGGATGTAAACCATCCATCTTCAGTAAATAAAATGAAATTGAAAAAATGGTCAAAATGTACATACATAAATTCTGTACTACACTATTTTGATCTCACCTCTAAGGTGTTAATGGCTCAAATGTTAAAAGCACCAAATAAACGTATCTACCAACCAACCAACTGTACATACATGCATACATACATAGGTACATACTTACGAATTTGAATGGTATATACTGTCATCTATGACTGGTGATTGGTGCTCTTCTCAAGGTCTCAGGTCTGGGTCTGACATCATGGGAGGATGCAATAGTGTATCTTCTTTGGAAAATACCCTAAATAAAAAAAATATATATCATAGTTTTAAGAAAATACCACAATGCAAGGATAGAAAAAATAAATAAAAAACCAAAAAAAAACAGGGAACAAAAAACTAAACCTGTTCGTTTTGTTCCATTATTTCTTCTAACCACGCATTGTAATATTTTATTAGAACTGTAATTCCATTATGCTATATTTTCAAATTTCTTTTATTTGCTGGAGATGGGTGGTTTATATCCGGAAACCATTGATGGAACCATCAATTCTTTCCTAATAAAGGAAAGCATTTACTGTTCCTTCCATTAACTGGGTATCTCTACTAAAATCCTCCCTCGTTCTAATCTATTACAGGCCAAGAGAGGAAGCGGCTCAAAAACTTTACAAACTGGCGATATATTCATCACTCGGCACTCTAATTTATCCTCAGTACATGTTGTATTTCACATGGTGGTGGACGATTCTTTACGCTCCAATGATCTGAACTCTAGACATCCTGTTGTGCTTGGTCTGCGGAACATTTTAAAAACAGCCTGTTGTTATGATGTGACTACTTTAACCATTCCTCTCCTCCTCATGCATGAAATGACTGAGGAGATGACCGTTGCATGGTGCACTAGACGAGCAGAGCTGATCTTTAAATGTGTAAAAGGCTTCATGATAGAGATGACCTCTTGGGGAGGCTCGGATTTAAAAAATCTGCAATTCCTAGTGCCCAAAGTAAGTTGGATTTATTACTTTGTTCTTGCAAAATAAATTTTTTGACCCAGAATGAGCTTGTTCAGTAATTGGACTAGATTTTGCAATCAGAAACTATAATTTCTATCCCATCCGTAAAAACACCAATGAGCACAGGGAAACCAATGGCACATACTTCGTTTCTGAACTGAGCCAGATATTGTAGTTCCAAATTGCAAAATACTGTCCAATTCTTAATCTAGCTTTTTCAAAAAGTAGAGAGTGCGTCTATTACTCAGGAATTTTCTCAAGTTTTTCAAACGGTACGAATCCACAAAAAACTAATCCAAAGTTGTCTATTTTGAGCTCTCATTTAAACGCTCATTTCCAAGGAAAATAAAATGATGTTCGTTAATATCTCTCCTGCCTGAATCCCACTTTCGACAGATGTATGGTCCGAGCAGCTGTTGTCAGTACACAGCTGCGCGGACTATAGATTGCGGAGGTGATTGCCCGGTCAAAAGGGTGATTTGACGGGAGAGATATTTTTGGATGCCATCTTAATTTTCTCAGTGATGATTAAAATGGGACTTCAAATACACAACTTCAGACTCATCTTTTGAGAGTAGATATCGTTCAAAAAAATCTGGGAAAATTGCACAAATTGAAAATTAATGGACAAGCTTTTTTAAAAAATCCCATGAGTCAGTAATTCCTTACCTTGACTTCCCAAGTGCTTTAAGTGATACAACCAAAATATCTAACTCCTTAATGTCTAGAGATATTTGAAACTCAAACCAACCTCTGGAAAATTAAGGACGCTTTTCTTGGCAGCAGGGATTAATAGCAGACAATGTGTAACAAGAAACAAAGAAAACCAACTCAAGAATAGCATTGCTGAAGTTCCTCTTCTTGTGTTTGTAATACAAACAATAGAAATGAAAACAATGAGAAAAAAAAACAATTAAATTACCATGCCTAGGAGGACATTTGTACTTGATTTATATATTACTAGGGGGCTGCGCCCCCTGGCCGCTCCGCGACCCAACCCCCAGAGGCGCTTCGCGCCTCTACTGTGCAGATTTACAAAGCATTCAGATCGTGAAATTGTTAAGATCATCAAGAATTAGGGAAAACCCAGTTTGGAGACGGCGGGAAGTATGTGAGCGTGCGCGGCGGTAGAGTAAGATAATGTTACATAAGTACCTACTTATATTATTTTTTAACAATTAATTTTTTTGCACTTTTTACAGGGTATATCAGAGGAAGTGTTTTCAAGTCTTGCTTCAATGCTGCCCAGTATTTTTAGAATCTCAAATCCACTTGTCTTCAAAGCTAGTTCTAGTGCATCTTCAAAATAAATTCCCTACCAAGAAAAACCTGAATATTTCTACTTTTTTTAATGTTTTAGTACTGTGATCGCCTCAGAAACTTAATTAAAAGGAGAGATACAATTCAATGGACAAGACACACAATCACATATCTTCGTTTGCAATGTTGCAGACTTCCTGTTATACCTTATTTTTCTTCGGGAAACTATACAACATAAATTCTTGACAATTTCCCTAAATTTTATTCACTATGAGTAGAATATTCCATGAAAATTTCGACCTTTAAATTTGGCTTGTTTCTCTTATAAAAATTAAAATATGAGCGGAAATTTTAAATCGCCATAATGGAGATATGTGGTCTCATATTTTGGCCGTTGAATTGAGAGCCAAAGTGTTGGGAAATCTTTCCCAATAATCATGGCAACTTTCTGCATAGCAGCTCTTAACGAAAGCTTATTACAAACCATCACGTACTACATATGAATATAGGAGCTTACAAATTACTCTTTACTCCCGAAAACCAGGATTTTTAAAAGTACATGAAAATAAATTTGGTGTAACTGGTATTTCTCTTAAGAAAAAAACTGCTGGGAGCTATTGAGTTAGAGATACTTGCCAAAGGTAATCAGGAAACAACTTATGATGTCATCTACAGAGAATAACCAGAGATAGCCTAAAATAGCCAAAAGCATCAGGCGGTTGATGCTTTGGAGGGCAAGGGGGGGGGAGAGAGAGAGAAAAACGGGTAGAGAAAGTTCGCAACATTTTCTCAAAATTAAAGGCCAAATTTTGCAATGAATACACGAGAAGATTATAGAAAGAACTCAGCTTTTTATTAAACAAATAACATGTTCTGGCATACAAATTGTATTATATAGGTTAACAATAAATTTGGCTCTTAAGTACTCACAATTTATGACTATTCAAAACTTTAAGGAGCCAAACATCTGATGATATAGTCAAAATCTTTGGCTATGACTAGATCTGATCAAGGACGTCTTTGAGTTTTTGACAGACTTTTCAACTTACACTGTAGTCGATCAAAACTAAAAAATGAGATAAAAAAATGTTGAATTAATAAAATCATGTACAATCTTTAAAACTAATCACTCTGACTTAGATTTAGTTCATGAACGGATGAGATCCTGCATTGGAATATGAGAAATATGATAGGCAACCGATTATTATTGCTCCAACCAAGAGGGTAAGGCTGAATTCGGTGGTCTGACTTTCACGTTGAACTGTTTGAGGGTTGCCTCTAAAGCTTGTTGGTTTCCAGAAAAATATGCAGAGATGGCGTTATGGAACAGGAGGAGCTGTTTATGCATAACTTTAACCTGAAATAAAACACAAATTCAAGAATAAAAACTCAACCATCATAGCAACAGAAAATCTGAATCGATACATGAACTGCTGCGGGCTGATTGTTGAATTTGATAGACAAAGAAGACAACAAGGATGCGGAGGGATCCTATTGGTGGAAGCAGGTTGTTGCAATGGACAAAGGAGGTAGGTAATAGGCTAACTAACAACAACCCATGGGAGACCAGATAGCTGGTCTATCACTTTCTCCCTTAGTCTATAGGAGCCACCAATTTCAACCGATATGATCGCTCAATACTCTCAATACCTTTTTTGTCTTTCGCTTTGTCTATTTTCAACAATCAGCCTGCTGTTACCTAATTTTGCTGATTCATCTACTTGGCTTTCAAAAAGTCACTTTGCAACTTTTGCCGCTAATCATGATTTGAACACAATTTTGCGATTAGGAACTACAATTTCTGTCGCAGTTTAAAAACAATATAGGTACCATTAGTTTCTCTATGCACATTTTTACCAACAAGCCACCCATTGTAGTTCCAAAGCAAAATGTAGTCCATTTCTCCTAACTAAACATTTGATTTTAGGTCTATTACAAAATTAGAGGAGTGCAAAATTTGAAACAAGCCTTTTTTTCATTCAGCAACGTAGAGTGTCAAAATTGAAGTCTTTACAGCTTTTTTTAACTCCAATTCTTCATCAAAATTTGCTGAATTTTAAAGCTAAAAATAAATGATAAGAAAATTGAGAGTGTCATTGTTGAAATGGTCATGCTTTTAGAGGAGCATTTGGCAATACTCTAAAATTTTTTTTAAACATTTCTTAAAAATGAATTAGAATTCATAGTATCCAATTTAAAACCTGACTTACCCTATTTTCATCGAGGAATTTGAGTTTGATGACAACATCAGCTCGTAATTTCTCAAAATCCATTTTGTGGCGTTCAAAATTTGTCTGTGCTTTCTCTAACCGTTCACTGTTCGTCTCTGAACTACTTGCTTGAACCAGCAGTTCCAGGTCCGTACGGTAAGCATCGTATTCAATTCTATAACAACATGCAAAAACTTTATGCATAGGATAATCATGATAAATAATTGATAATAATGTAGAGAGTAGGTTCCCAATCAAAATCAAAAGATATACATTTGGGTAATGACCAGGTTTTGAACATCTTCATCAGTGTTTGAGGTTTTTGGGAGCCTCAACATTGTTCTGGACAATGACAACAGTATTTGGCTGTGACTGGGCATTATCTACCCAAGTTAGAAACACAAATTTAAAATCACAAGTCCATAAAACATTGAATTCCAAAAACATGTCGTTTGGACTACAACAAAACCGGAAAATAATCCATACGGTATACAATTTTTTTCTGCAGAGAATAGCTGATAAGTCTGATCTGTGAATTGTTATTGAATGATTTTCAATATGAAGCACCTTCCTTAAAATTGGCTGTAATAAGATTTTAATTAAAGAGCTTCCTGGAAAAAGGGTCCATAGCAAAAAATCGCAGTTAGGAAAAATGCATTTGAGGTTTTCATCGTTACTTTCTAGCCACTGACGATGACTTGCATTAGAAATTGGAGTCCAAGCTCTGATGAAAGTCACCGTCAGCTACCAGAAAGTATTTATGGAAACTTCAAATGCCTTTCTCTCAAAAGTGATTTTTCACTAGGGGCCCTTTTTGTACAAAGCTCCTCAATTTTTTTATTGCAGCCAATTTTTAGAATGGCACATCACATTGAAAATCAATTAATAGCAAAATAAATGCTGCACTTCCTCTACAGCTGTTAAAAGTTGATAATATTTTACAATGACAAAGCAGCTTGTCCCAACTTACGCACGTTTTTTTTGAGATTCTCCCTCAGACATATTTTTCGTCTATCCTTTTCCCTCTTATTTCTTCTGTCTCATTCTAAGTTCCAACTTGCCAAGCATTCTCGGCCTTAAGACAACGCTTGTGTACAATCAAATGCAACATCACATTTATTTAAAATCTTTTTTATCTGTGCACCGGATGGCTGATGTAATGCACCCTAAAACTTACATTTCTAGGCCTGCATGTCCTCTTCCATTCGTCAGGAACTTTACTTTGTGATCACTATTTCAGCAGTGACTACATGTCTTTTCTTAAGCTCTCGCAAGTCATTCTACAATATTTTACTGGGTGCAGAACTTTCTATTATTGACTTTGTGTGATCCGGCTTTCAAGGTGGATAAAGTGTGTCATGGTATCTCAACGGATTTCCAGTGTTATTCTTTTATATCTGCTCTTCCAAAAATTGACGATAAATTTTTGGTCTCCAAAACATACTTTTGCTGTTTCAAACACTTCTCCAAATCTTAATGGGTAATTAGTAAGGAAACCTATTAAACTCCTCTTCAATACGCAACATGGTACCTTAGTCCGTGTTGCCCAGGTTCATATGCGGGTTTCCTCTTTAAGTAGTATGCGACACAGCTGCATTTAGCAAACAAGAAATATGCCTGTTAAAAAGTGGTTGGAAAAATTCTCCTGAAGGACCAATATGAAACTCTCTAAGCCGCTAACCTACCTTGCAGTTTCATACTGACGAACGGTGAGAAGTGTATCTTCAATGGTTTTATTGCACAGTGTGTTCACTGATGATATAAAAAAATGTAATGCACTTAGAAGTACTTCGCCATTTTTCATCAAATTTCGCTGAGTTTCTGAGTTATACAAGAATTCCTCTTGTAATTCTGGTGATTTCTGCGCCAAGTCTGAAAAGGCTTCGCCCATTAAATGCTAAAAGAAAGAAAAAAACAACCAGTTAATGCTTGAAAAATACTTTTTAAAAGCTCTATAGTTCTCTGAAGTTCAAAAAAAAGGCAAAGAAAGTGTGCATATTTAGAGATTAATATATGATTGCGATTGAAGGGTGTCATAGATAGAGGTGCCATTTTTGAGATTTTGAGAAGGCATGTGTCACTGAAAAATTTAGTAGAAGCTTGTGACACATATGAATTTAAGATCTAAATTTTTAAAGAAGCGAGAAAATAAGCACTGAAGTTTACAAAGAGCACCCTTGGGCTTAGCTTTATTGGAACTGGGGAGATATTTTCTTATTTTTCTACAAAAGTTAAGAGACTCATTTATGCATTTGTAATATTCAAATATTTTGAATCTGATGTAATGGAAAGATTAAATAAATTCTGAAACTTTCACTGTATGCTTCTATTAAATAGAAAGAATTTATTCAAAATATTCCATGCTGTCGATATTCATTCAGAGCAATTTGTTAATTGTTTTTTTTGCAATGTTTTTTGGACATGAGACCAGATTATTATTTTTTCGTCACTCACATACATTTGGAGGTTCCTAATTGGTTAAGAAGCAACAGACTCTTTAACAGTTAAAGTCAAGATTTGATTTTTGTACTATTTTTTGGCAGGAAAACAGAATTTAAAGAAACAGAGCAAAAGGTTGCTCCTTCCTCCATCCTCAATGACTTATAGCTCTCTTTAGAAGACTTCATACTTAACAATGAAGGATATAAGCTGTAATTACAAATCAATATCAATGTTCTAAATCATCATAAAACAATGGGTTGCTGTGAAAAGTACCAATTATTGTAAACTCGATTTTTTTTTTTGGGGGGGGGGGGGGGGACTATTGTATTTAGTGACAAAATCGTTTTCTGAAATCGCAGTACAAATCATCAAGCTGCTACTAGTTTGCTCTCTGACCTCTCACCTTTTCTTGTCCTTCAGCACAATGTTTGGATGGATTAATTTTAATAACTGAACTTTGGCATATCACGGAGATCGGTAGATCTCCCCGCCAAGCTAAAAATATAAATATAAGGAGAACAACCAAATGAAACCTCCCAGAGTAAGACCGGAAAACGCCTTCAAACGACTCTGCAGCAACCACACACACGCGGGGCGATAACCCGATAACCGTCGGTCGACGGTATACATTACAGAAAATATTAGGAATTGCCGATTTTCGCTGCTTTTTAACTTTTATCACCCCGTAGCAAAAAAACTACTCAAAGGATCATGTTTAAATTTGGCATGATGATNAATATTTGCGTACTTCTTCTGGGTGTCACGTAATCCTTCTATCTGGTTCTCTAGTTCTGAAATTAATGACAAACATATTTCGAATAATTTCATGACTCCATCATTGCAAAGGATTACAAAAATTGGTTTTCAGGAGGCTTCAAAAAAATACAAGAGCTGTCAAAAGTAGAGGGTGAATGAAACAAAATCTGAGAAAAAAGATTTTGTCATAATTTGCAAATAGAGGAAAGAGTCATTAAAACAATTGAGACGCACATCTTTGTGTGGTCAGTCGTTATTAAAAAAGTTAGTCAGCAATTGACAAGTCTCTATGCAGCTTGCAATTTTCATAAATTTAATTAAGAAATAAGTTACTCATGGAGCCATGGAGGTCATAGGTCAGATAAGTCAGCAGTTGTTATACATATCGCTTTCCTGTGAAGTGATACTTATAGCCTCTATAACTCATACCAAGAGAGCAGTTCACCTCTTGACAGGGGTACAGAAACTTCCCAGCATGCAGTAGCGTGGCTGATTGCGCAACAAAATTGGAAGACTGAAGTGCATTAGTGTAGTTACATTAGATAGGTGGATGGTACCCTAGAGGAGCAAAGTTAGCAAAGATGCTAAATATAAATAAATGTACCTGTATCCATAGTTCTGGAGGATTTACCAAATTTTTCATACATGAGTTGTTTAGTGCACTTGTATGTTGATATACTCCAGTTTTTGATGGACACGATTTTTGAGGGGGAGTTTTTGTGCCATTGGGAGTCACCATTCTGAGGAGATATGAGGCTGGATGATGCTTTACTGGTTTTTCCTGGACACGGGAAAATATGTTCAAGATACAGGTATGAAAAAATTAATGACAATATGGGAATTCTAAACTGAACGATCATGGTAATATTAGAAAATACGTACCTCAGTTTTCTGTCTTACTTACAGTTTTTAAATTTAAGATCATTCATCGTTACGTCACAAAATTTTACTTGATTTTCCTTGGCCATTACAAACATGTGCTTTAAAAAATCGTGCAGAAATATAAGTCAGTGCTTACTTCCTTGAAAAATGAATGAGAGCAGACATTTTGAAACATTGAAATCAAGATAGTACTAGTTTTTCAATTTCCACTGTCAATTTTTTCGCTTGGAAATGATGGCTATCATCACCTTTATTCTTGGTATTGGGTTTCTTAGAACTTTGCAAAGGATTTGATAGGATTACATTATTCTAAGAGAACAATGATATCTTGATCACAGGAAGACTAATATCCTTACATTTACTTATAAACATGATAGAATAAATAAAAAAAAAAACATTGTTAAAAAAAGATTAAAATACTAAAAACACAATGAGGGCAGGATGTTTTGGGCCATCACAGGCTCATTTTCAGCAGCAAAAATAATAAATAATAAAAGAAAATTGAGCGGCAACCTAATCCCTGTTCCACATTTCTAAGTTTGTAACATTGCAGACCTTCTGTCATACTTTATTCTTCAAATGGAAAACTACTCAACATCAACTCCGGAAACCTTCCTTGATTTTTCTCCTCAATGAGAAGAATATTCTGTGAAAATCTAGAGCCATGATGCTGGTTTTGTCTTCTTTTAAGGAATAAAATAGGAGCGGAGATTTTGACACATCGCCACGAGATACAAGGTTTGGGAGTTTCACTGTGGATATGCTATGTGTCCACAAATTTTCACCTACAGGAATCTTTAATAACAAAAAGTTAGTAGAATTTACAAATGTGAATGAGCTGGTAACAGGATGGACATTCTTCTTCCAAAACCGTGTCAAATGTAGAAGGAGGAAGACAGGGCAGTTTGCATCTGGATAAGTCTATTGTAATTAGTTCTGAACTTTATGATTGTTCTCAAATGTAAAGACAATTTCAAATTTTTGGTACTATAAAATTTACCGTCTATGAAAGTACCTACAGGAGTTGTAGAATGTTGCCGGCAAAGAAAAGCTAGTATCGGCAAAATCTCTTTTGGGCCCGCTGATCTTCAAAATATATCTTAAAGTTTCTCTGGCATACAGACAGGTGAGTACAGAAGGTGGTATAGTAAGAGGGCAAACCTGATAGATTTCCAAGGGATATGGATGCTGTCATTTCAGTACTTCTTGGAGATCGGGATGGAGTCGATTCTGGTAGGATCGAACTGCTGTTTTCATGAATTGTTGTCGAATCCCGCATTTTACTTCTTGAATTTTCTTCCATCTTTTTCATAAAATTAGGGGGGGAAAGATACCTGTCAAAAGGTAGAAAAAAGCAGTAAGTATGCGAAGTGATGTAAGACCATGTATTATTTGGATAAGTCTATGTGTTTCAAAATTTTGTTAAGAAACTTCTTTATTCTTCTCTTCTTTCTTCTTTACAAGAGCTTCTGAGGCCCTCTTTTAATTAAATATCATCGCCATAGAATTTCAAAAGTAAAAATTACAATCCTCCATTGGTTCCATACAGGAGAGGAATACTCCCATTTGCCAAGAAATGCAAGATTGTGTATACTCTCTGTTTTACTTTTTACCAGAACTAAATATAAGCAAAGTATTGAACTTAATCAGTGTTGCAAAGAATTGGAAACCACAGTTCTAGTTGATATCTGTGATGATTTGATTTGGCAAAGGTAACAGCATTCATTATTACGAAAGAAAACTAAGAGGCTGGGGTAGCATGATTGGAGCTGGTACTTGCACCCGATGCTACAGCATGTTTTAACAAAAATTTGCAAGCAAAAAGAAGACCGATTCTAGGAATGAGAAATCTGCGAGTTGATTTTAGTAGGTTCTTTGATAAAAAGCGTTTAGTGGTGTGTCTAAACTAATAAAGAGAGTAGTTTAGAATTTATCACTTTGAATTTCATGGGGTTTTACATTGCTGATTGATGCTGCTAGTTAAGTACAGTATCACAGTTTGAGTGCGAGTCAATCATCAGTAATGAAACTTCAATATGATGATGAGATAACATCCTGCCTAGCCTTTGAAATCCATGATATTTTAGATATACACTTTACGCTTCTATCGGCTGTCAACCAAGTGCCCATTTTTTGAGGGTTGCTCTACTGACAAGCTCGAGAACCAGATTTCTTCCAACTCAATAGTGAGCTGTAGCGTTGATTGCGCTATACATTAATAACCTAGGTACATAGAGAATCTTGGAGAAAAAAGTTGCTGAAAGATAACTTGGTAAATAATGTAAAATTTAATTCCTCTCACTGATCCAAGTAAAGTCACTGTAACAAACAGTTCAGGATCTGATAAGGAAACACCTAACTCATAGAAAATCCATCAGGTAAAATAATATTTCCAACACCTTAAAAGACCACCTCTCCTTAGAAAAATGTAGCATTCGCACAGAGATTAGCTAGAAATCTAGCTTAAAACTTTCGGTTCCATTAACTAAAAACTTACGGAAGCTGACATCCGATTGATCACCAATTCACAACAAGACAAGAAAATTTTCCAAAGGTTTCTGATATAGAAATGAAAACAAACTCGTGAGCCTAACTTGTGACGTACACAGATTGCGAATTTTGATAACCAATCAAAAGCTTGCTTTTTATTGGAAAATTGTTTAATACCTTTTCATTGGATGAAAGTAAGCTTAGACAGCGTGACGTCATAAATAGTTTTCAAGATGGGTAAATCATTTGCCTCTGCCTGTCTCTCACCATCCCACCCACAGTGATGGAAGTGTAAACAAAATTTCCAATGTGTTGGTGCAGTTGGTGTTGTAAATTTCAGTCATTCCTTGTGACTTTTTCATGAAAATTTATTTTATTACCTGTACCATTTCATGAATAACTTTTTCGTTTAAAATGAGTGTTGTTTCTCAGTGTCGGCAACATATTTATTTTTCACTCGGTTTTATCCTAGGTTTGATACTAAGTTTAATTTTTGTTGTAAGAGTCGAAGACGGTTGCAGTTTATTCTCGCTAGAGATAATTTCCCTTGATTCTGACATTATCAGTAATGTTTTCAAGGATGAGTTTGAACCAAAAATCAACTCTGCAGGCAAACCACTGAAGGCTCAGAAAACACCCCAAACGTTAGTTCGTCCACGCTACTTTTCCACAGAGCTTGGAATCAAAGAAAAGTTGTTTGTTGGAGTATTGACCACATACGAATCTATTAGCTCTCATGGCATAGCTTTTAACAAGACTGTTGGCCACCTAGTGGATAAATTATTATTCTTCATCAACGCTCCTGGATCACAGAAACTAAATGTTTCACTGTTGAAACTTCCTGGGATTGTTAGATTCACAAACACACGATCTCTTCTGCAGCCTTTCCATGCAATAAAGTACATTTCTGATAATTTCATAGATGAATTTGACTTTTTCTTTCTAATCAAGAGTGATGCTTATGTTAAAGCTTCATCTCTGAATAAAATTATTGAGTCGATAAGCGTCTCTGAGCATGTCCACGTTGGTGTAAAGGCCGACCCGAAATCTTCTTTTTGTTCCTTAGGTAAGTATTTTACAGGTAAATCATTTACCGTTTAAGTTTGCTCTTTTCCATTCATTATTGGACTTTTTACAGAAATCAATATCAATGATGAAACTACCAGACAATGTATCTCGGTTTGTGACTCTGTAGACTTCTTGTCATACTTCATTTTTTAAATGGAAAACTACTGTTTAACGTCAATTCTTGAAAACTTCCGTGTTTTTAAGTACTTACCTGTGCGCAAAGAACTCTGTGAAAATTTCAAGAACTGATATTGATATTTTTTCCTTCAAAACAATAAAGTGGGGGTGGAGATTTTTAATCACTACAAACGAGGTATGGAGTCCAGTGGTTTCACTGTCAATATGGCTGAGACTGAAATCAAATCTACTGAGTTTTTTGCCTCAGTTTTATTCTCTTAATTTTCAATGTTGTATCAATGAAAATGTTGTCTACGTATTCAGTTGGAAATTAACCTCATGAGAATATCTAATGAGGAAATAAATTTGTAAGAATTTAAGACTGTATGGTACCTTAAGATCAAGAAAATATAGATTAAAGTAAAATACAGGATTTACTGGACTAGATGCTAACAGGAAGTAAACCTCCAGTCATGGAGCTGTAAACCGCCGGAGCTGTAGCTAAAATTACTAATGTGACTTTACACTCCATCCTGTTAATGCCATCAATATTTTCTAATATTTCTTTTTTTGTTCACCAAATTTTTTGCTGACCGTAAACATTTTCATTTTTTATTTCAGATTCAGGATTACTGCTAAGTAATTCAGTACTGCAAAAACTGCAATCAGATTTGGATTGGTGCGTGAAGAATATACTATCTCACTCTGATGATGAAAATGTTGGTCATTGTATTCTGCATTCAACAAATTTACCATGCCAGCAGAAAGTTGAGGTTGGTTGAGTTTTATCAGACCGCTTCCATTGTTGCCGAGTTTAGACTTCGTCCGTAGATTGCTACTGCCCACTGCCACCCTTGATATAAATTGATCTGAGATGGTCTTGTATTTCCTTCTTGTAAAAATTCATCATAAGTTACTTACTTACATTTTCAAGTATTATTTAACATCTTCAGGTAAAGACCTGTGTGCCAGTGGAAACAGATGTTATGAGAGAAAAGAAATAAATCATAACATATTGTGGTCTTCCCCCTTGAATAACAGCAAATCAATGGTAAAACTGCAGAAATTTCTTTATTTTTTACTTGGAAAACCACCAAACATCATTTCTTGAAAACTTTGGTGATTTTTCCTTTCCTTTTGAAGAACACTTCTTATTTCAAGCCATGATAAAAGTTCGGCCTCTTTGTAAAAAGTAAAGTACCTAGGACCCGTGATTTTGGAACACAGTATTGGAGATACACATTTTTGCAGTTTTGCCGTGGAAATGTGACAGTTTCCAATTTTCCTCATGAAACTTGAATGAAAGGAAAGTTCAATGGCTGTATAATCTTGCTACACTTAGAACAAGAATTCCAATAAACTACTTCTCTTTTCTAATAAAAGTCACTTGAAAGAAAAAAAAAAGTATTCAATGCTGGCAATTTAAATTAATTTATGAGCCAGAAAACTTCCTGAAAATAAATGTTGAAGCTTCCATCTTGGCTTTGTAAAGCGTGTTAAAGTTGGTCTGCTTTGGTGTAGTGGTTTTAGCGCCAACTCTATTATCAGAAGGCCCCAGAATTGATTCCTGGCCAGGGGGCCCGAGTTTGATGATCTCAAATAAAAGTTGTCCGGAACTTGTCGTGGAGTGGGAAGGCTGCTAGATTGTGCGGAAAAATGAGGGTGTTTTCCATGGTTTAAGTAGAGAAAAATTGCTGATTTTTCAGCATTAAGTAGCAACACTTAGGGAAAGGAGCTTGGTCACTGTTGCCAGGTAATGCTAAAAAATCAACCCTTTTCTCTAATTAAACCCATGTAAAAAATCTGCAATTTATTGCATAACCTGGCAACTTCGGGTTTAGTGGCATGATGGAATCCTGCTGGCACTTGAAGTGAAAAGAAAGTAAAGAAGTATCTAAAGTTTTTTATCATGCTCTGTATGTTTTAAGTGAGATTTAACCTTATTTTTTCATCCTGTAGAGTTGTGAACTGGGGAGCATCAAACTGAACAAGAATTTTGATCTGGAAACTTTGTTAGCGAATTCTTCAATGCGAGAAAAGCTAGAAAAAGTAATTACGATCCATCCTCTCGAGAAGCCATCCCAGTTTTACCAACTTCATGCATACTTTTCAAAGGTAAGCCTCCTCTGTCTATTTAGAGGCAGTTAAGGTGATTCAATGGACGCCATATTTTGTGTCAGAACAGCATGCGATGTTAGGGTGTTCCGTTTTCAGACAACCATCTCAAAACCTTGCTCCCCGGGCTTTTACCCATTCCTTTAGGTCCCCAAAAGATAATTCTGAAGTTTCAGCACCATAGCTGAAGTCTACACTTTCCCCCAAAGCGATGCAAATTTTGGAAGAAATTACATTGGTTTAAATGGGGAGAAAATAGGCAAATTCCCGGAACTACGTTTTTCGGTTGTAAAATGCGCCGAAATGATTTCAGACCT